AATTATAGCATTTTACTATGGAGCTTCGTGATTGTTACACGAAAAACTTACTTATCCAATTTCCATATAGGACTATATATAGATTTGATCTACATGTTACACTGGATACCCCACCGTAACATCCCTAATTAAAATATCTTGAATTTAAAAAAATTTATTGTACATTAAAAATTTTACGTACTGTGAATGCATGTGCAGAAGGCAATACTAAATCCTGCTTAGATGTACTATAATTTATGTTGCTCATTTGATACTAAATCATTCCATATAGATATCATACCACCACATAAAATTTGTCAATGAATAATTTTTTCTTTATCGCTGATTTCAAATTAGTGCGATCAATGAATTTTGTGAATCCCATGAATCCTGCATGTTACTATTGTTTTGACAATGGTAACATGCAGAATTTTATGGGACTACGTAACAAAATTCATTGACCATACTAATTCGAAAACAGCGATAAAGAAAAAAGATTTATGTGCAATCAATGTTACATTTCTTTTATTTTTTTTTAAAAAAGAAATTCATTATGCGAGAAAACTGTTACCGTAAGTACGTACATACATAAACATTGCATATGCATGATGTTTTTTAATCTTGATAATATTGGTGTTAATATTAAAAAAAAAAAAAAAAACTTTTAGGGTACACTTACAAATATTAAAAAGTAAATACGTACCAGGGTATCAAAATTGTTAAAGTGGTAGAGCTGATCACAAGATGCACAAGGATATTTCGACGTCTTTTGCAAGATAGAAGTAACCTAGGTAAATTGTGCCCAAATTAGTATTTAATCTGGAATGATAAGATATATATGTGTGTGTGAAACAGGAGAAAAGATATAATATATTTTAAGAAAAAATTTGTTGTGCAAAAATACGTTATTTGTGATGCAAAGTGTCGGGCGGTAATAATGTCACAAAATCCGATACTAAAAGGGTTAAACTTTACGAATTTTTGCTATTCCATACATCATATCATTTATTCATATATATCTTGTTTGTGTGTATTTATTAAATATTTCATATTTTTGGGTCGGAAGGCGTTTGACAACTTTTTTGGGCGTTTAAGAAAAGCCACTGCAAAATTGTAAAAAATTTACCGTCAAAAAAAATAAGGGACCGATTCGAATGGTTCTAGCTTTACTCGTACGTAATTGAATACACGGAGCTCCACATATGTGTAACAATCCAACACAAAGCTTTTTTCTCTTTTTTGGTAAAGATAAAGTAACGAGCTACTAAGAAGGAATAACTAATAATAACCTTAGCTTTATGGGGTAAGTTTGAACATCTGATTTGGGGATCGACCAAAAAAGGAAAATAGCCTTAGCTTAAATCACAATAAGATGTAATGTGCCAGTAGATCACTAAATCATTCGATTTTCTTTGATTTTTTTAAAAATCAAAAAAAACGGAACATTCGGATATGTACAACGGTTTTTGTTCTCTAAGAACGTACGTATGTATACATTATGATCATTTATATGTTATTCTTTTTGTTTGAAAGTATGTACGTACGTTCGTACGTGTGTATGTACATACGTACGTACGTACATATTTTTAATCTACATATGTAGTACAGCTTCTCAAGTTTGATTGTTTTCCAGTTAAAGTTGTCAATTTTGTTTTCCAATTATTCTTAGTTGTGAACACCTTTATATTGATAAATTAGTACTAACTGTTTCAAGAGTGAAGATAAATAATGCATTCTTCTCGAGGTAATAATACCTTAATATAAACACCTTTTGTTTCTTTTCAAATCATCATTAGTGAATATTTTGATATCATATAATTAAATAGCAAACAAGTTAAATCAAGAAGAACCGCGTTCTTCAAAGATTCATAATTATTTGGTAATAGAAACACTTTATAATTATTCCTTTTAAATTAATTATTTACAATTTAAAATTATTTTAAACGATAGAAATTTATGGATCTCTTAACAATCAACAATCATTCTCAGTCACCAAATGGATTAAACCACCAGAATGTGGCCGATTCTTCATCTTTTAGCCGATTTTCTATAAAGCTTCCTAAAAAATTTTATCCAGCCAAACAAAAATCCATTAAAGCTTTTAAATCTAAAAATTATGAAGAAGTTATTAAATATTCAACAGAATTTCTTGATAAATATCCGGATAGTTATAGTATAAGATGTGATCGAAGTGAGGCATACATGAATCTAAGGGAATATGAATATGCAAAACAAGATCTAGATATAGCCATACGATACAAGCCAAAGAAAGAACGTGGATTTTATCTTCGTGGAATGGTACATGATAAACTAAATCATCCAAATGATTCAATAAAAGATCTTAGTAGAGCTATTAAAATTAAATTTAATGATCAGTTAACATTGGAAGCATTTAAAATATGTGCTAAACATTATAAGGACTTTGGAAAATTTAATGATGCAATAGAATGCCTTGGATCTGCATTGCGATTAGAATCACATGATGTTTGGGCGTTGAAAACTAGGGGAACAATGTATTTTGAGAAAGGAAAATATAGTTTGGCACTAAAAGATTTAACAGCTCTGCTTAAAGTTGAGGGGACAAATATTGAAGCTTTAGAATTAAGAGGGATAGTGTATGTGAAATTAGATCGTTATGATAGTGCATTAAATGATTTCAATACAGCATTACGATTAAAGCCTAATTTACTTCTTTCACTGGCATATCGATCAAAGATATTCAGAATAGAAAAACGATATGTAGATGCATTGGGAGATATTGAAAAATATTTAAAATTTGGTGGTGAACTGAATGTTTCAGTACTTAAAAATAGAGGATTAGTGTATCGTGGATTGGCAAGATCTAAAGAAGCTTTGGCGGATTTTACAGCGGCATTGCAGAAAGAAAGGAAAGGCTCGATTTTTAGGCACCGAGCTCATGTATATAAGACTTTGAGACAATATCAAGAAGCATTATATGATCTGGATCAAGCGATAGAAATTAAAATGACAGATAAAGAAGCTATTGCAATGCGTAATCAGATTTATACACAACTTAATAGGTAATTAATTACATTATTATTTATTATAATAAACAGTTTATTTTTGTGTATTATTTATTAATATTAGTATTAATTTTATATTAGATTTGATGATGCATTGAAAGGATTAACAATGTCATTACTAGTAACACCAGACGATGTTAATGCACTTGCAGATCGCGGTACAGTTTACTATGCGATGGGCGAATTAAACGAAGCAATGGCTGACCTTAACAAGGCCCTATCAATAAATTCAAATCACGTATCTGCATTATTAACTCGGGCCAAAGTATATCGATCCCAAAAAGAGTATAAGTTAGCATTAAAGGATCTTGACATAGCAATTCAAACAGACTCATCTAAACCACGATTGTATCGAAACAGAGGAAAAGTATATACATTAATGAAAAATTATACAAATGCATGTAAAGACCTAGATTTGTCCCTAGAAAAGGAAAAACATTCATCTGCATTGCGTTATCGAGGTCAATCATTATCAATGTTAGGCAAATATAATGAAGCAATTTCAGATTTTGATAAAGTATTAGAAATGAAATCTAATTCAGCAGATGCATACCATGATCGTGGTGAAACGTTTTTCAAACTTGAGAAATTCACGCAAGCTCTTGAAGATTTAAATAAATCATTGGAAATTAAAGAGAATTCAAAATCATTTGAATTACGAGCATATATACATGAAAAACTTGAAAATTACGAAGAAGCTTGCATAGATTTAAACAGAGTTTTACAATTAACACCTGATAATCTTGAGATTTTATTAAAACGAGCAACTTTATGTGAGCGGCTCAAAAAGTACCACGAATGTTTAGATGATTGGACAACTATTTTGAAACATAAACCAAATGACATTCAAATACTTCAAAACAGAGGAAAGATATTAATGAAATTATGTAGATATGAAGAAGCTAAATCAGATTTTGATCAAATATTGAAAATTGATGCACAAAATATTGAAATTATAGCATTGAGAGCAGAAATTTTACAGGAACAAAATAAATATGATGAAGCAATTAATGAATTAACTGATGCAATAAATAAATTTGGAGATAAAGGTCATTTACTAGCAATACGTGGAGGAATTCATATGATGAAAAAAGAGTTTGACGAGTCTTTACAAGATTTAAATGGAGCTTTGAATATTGAGTATAATTCGTCGTCGGATGATTCGCAAAGTCTAAAAGATTTGGGTTTTATTAGTAATTCATTGAACTTTTTGGATAATGAAGAAAAAATGGAAGTGAAAGAGGAGATAGTTACTTCGCCTAAATGTTATGTCAAATCACATGTTTTAGCATTGAGTTATCGTGGTTCTGTGTACAGAAATAAGAAAGATTATGATAAGGCATTAATAGATTTGAATACTGTTTTGAATAATGAACCGAATAATGCCTTTGCACTTTATGAACGAAGTTCTATTTATAGGGATAACAAACAATTCGATGAAGCTTGGATGGACATTGAAAGAGCTTTAAAGGTAGATATTGAAGTGGATGCGTGATGTTAAAAAATCTGAAGGATAATGTCTTAGACAATGCTTGGATTGATATTGAGAAAGTTTTGAAGGTTGATATTGAGGTAGATACCGAAATCTCAAGATTAATGATTAATCTTGAATACGATCTTAGTTGAGATTTGAAAAATGAATTATTGTTATAAGCAAGCATTTACATTTAATATTTAATATGTTAGGCCATACAAAATTAATAAATTAGTTCTCATAACACATAAGTTTTAAAAATGGTCGGCTTTTAATTTCATATAAAAGCTAATTAGGACTTTTTATAATAAAAAATGAATAAAAAATTTCCAAAAAAATAATCCAGCTTGGTTTTGAGAACCAGTTGAATTATTTTATAAGATCTTATACACAGTGTATGTAAAAAATGTAAACAGATTCCCAGCTAGCAAATAAAAAGTACAGTAGTTACATAATTATTATTTAATGAAAATAGAAAACACGATTATTAATGTATTGTTACAACATAAATTTATGGCTAAAGACAAAAATACTATATCTTTTTGATATCAAAAGATCGAAAACTGATTATTAACAAATATATTATTTAGAGCATTAAATTTATTATTTTGTTATACACTAAAGATAGTATCCTATTAGTTCATATAAACCGAACAATTAAAAGTGAATATCATGCATGAACTTTTGAACGAGGTATTTAGTAAAGTAGTAGTACAGTACGAGAGTACAAACATGTATAGACGTACGTACGAAGATTGTAAAAAAATGAAAATTTTCGTATTAGTACTAATTTAGTACATTCGAAGCTTTTTTTTTTTTTAATACGTAAGCGACGCCAAAAAAATAAAATATAAAATAAGCATTATTTTTAGACACCAGATTCAATCCTTGAAATAATATTATAAGTGAGTCGTTAAATTATAAATTTACAAAGTTAGATTCCTAATTTGCTCGTATTCGATAGTTATTTAATTGCAAGTAAATTCAAGCGCATTTAATTTTTATTGAAATTAAGCGCAAAGATAACTAAGCATATTTACTATAAAATAAATAATTTAAACATATATCTAAAATTTATAAACTCAAGCTTGCTTTTTAATTACTAGTATTGTAATTAGATAGCCTCGGCAATTTTTTTTCTAATTTTAATTTGACATTCTAACGAGGTATATAATTATTTTTTCAATTCAACATCTAATAATCATTTTGTTGTTATTTACTATGGATGTGTTTTTTTAACAATAAACACTGATTCAATTTCCGTTATTTCATTTGCACCTTGAAAACTAGTTTCATGACATAATCTTTTATTATCACTGTTAATAATGGAATATATTAGCATTAGTGGATTTACGTCTTGTTAAATAAAAAAATTATATACAGTCAACTCTCTCTAAGTGCAACCCCTCTAAGTGCAACCTCTCTCTAAATGCAGCTTTAACTTCGGGCCCAAGTATATGTTTGGTATACGTTTTGTCTCTATAAATGCAATTATTCTCTAAATGCATGTTGTTAAAAGTCTGGTCCCAATGAATTGCACTTAGAGAGAGTTGACTGTATTTCTTTTGATATAAAAATATTTATAAAATAAATATTTAGCTTTTCTATTTGATGCAATTTGTTACTTTTAATTTCACTTTTATCATTTTGTATATAACATGTCCGAGTTTATTTCGTCATATAGTTTAATGCAAAACTGGGATATAAAACACGTAGAATTTTTTTGTCCTCTACAAATTAATTCGATTCTGATTCCTAATAATAATTTTAACTTTATATCGTTATGAAACAAGTTCATATTATCATTTTAAAAAAATTATTTACTTGATCAAATTAAAATTCTTCGACGTAGAATATATTATCCATATTTGTAGCAATCAAATATAAAGTTGAATAGCTACTACCATAAAGAAAGATATTGACAATATAGGAATCAGCATAAAATTAAGTCAAAAGTTTGAAGGAAGGAGTGACAAATTATTGTTTGATGAATAGGAATTAATCATATACTGTAAGTACGTACGTATATTAATTAATTCTTATTCGTAGTCAAAAAATATTTGAATTGAAAATATCAATTAGGCACTAAATATGTTCGTATGTACTAACTTATACCTCCGTACTGTATTAATTTACTATATACCCTTTAAACGTGGATTTTATCTCTTTATATTTATGTACGGCACGATTTAACCAATTTGATCATATCCAATCTATGTCAACGATATTAAAGCTCAGTTAATCAATGACGACTAGTAAAGCATAAAAGATAAACTTGTCCATTACAACATTATCAATATTGTTCTTGAAAGATAATACAATCATTATAGTTCGATAGTTCAATTATAGACCACTCGTGACAGTTTGCAAGTATGAAGAATAAATTAATCGTAGTACAACATTTTAATGTCGTAAAAGCATATCTTAACGTCACATTGCTGCAACACTATCAGAATATTAACCGAAAAATCGAAACTTTTTCATTTTGAGTTCGGGGAGTTCCGGTTTTTAAATACAATTTATATGAACAAATGAATAACCCAATTTTGCTAATTATTCGGATTATTTGATTGCTTGTCAAGGTTATATTCAATCAACATGTAAATCATTATGTGTTGTATCATATTATAAGATGTATCACATATAATTTGATTTACTGTACATAGTTGGCCTGTCTTCCATGACGAGAAGTTCCTGCAAGTATAAGTACATAAGATTTGTTGCGTTACTTTAAAAGTGCACAAAAATGAAGGTTTAGTATCATTTTACATGGAAATAAAGTTCACTGCCACGTTCCGGACAGTTGTTATTTTAATTATCCGGTGTATCCGATTATCTATTTGACAACTCCGTTTACGTACGTATCTGATACTTTTTTTTAACCAAAATCGGAAATTTATTCAGACCCTGAAACTCTATTCGGATTTATCTGAAAATATAACGATAACGAAAAGCTTTATATGCGATTAAATAATCTAAAATTAGATTTATAAATCAGGTCGTCTTGTATAGGTGAACAGGAGGAAACGTTGATACGTCACAAAATATTGAAATTATAGCATTGAGAGCAGAAATTTTACAGGAACAAAATAAATATGATGAAGCAATTAATGAA